GTGACAAAAATGTTCTCTTTCTATATAAAGTTTCTGGATCAATATCACTTCTGAGTTACTGTGCATGTTGCATTTAACTGCTGTAGATGTTTAAGGTTCAACTCATTTTAACTACTTTCTAAACTGTTGGGTAGTTTAATTCACAGTAATGAATTATGATCCATGAGATCATCATATGTTCGTATCACGTGGTTCTAAAACTTTTCATGAAAGGTTGCCCTTTTCTCAGCTTTGTGACATTTTACAGCTAATCCAAGATCATTAGTATTTATAATTTAGGAAATAGAAGAATGTTCTGAACCCATAAAAGGGCATTCAAGCCCTAAATTTATTTGAAAAATCCAAATCCAACATTACCAAATCTGGAGATGCATAATTTCAGTGGACAGGACGAGTCTGAACAGTAGCTACTTAGACAAATGTAACAGAGTAAAAAGAATAAATCTGCATAAAATGGAAATGCTCAAGTAAGTTAGAGTGCTTTAAATTTGTACTTAAGTGAAGTACTTGAGTAAATTTTAATTGTTACATTCCACCACTCCATAAGACTTACACCTGCATCACAACTGTCACAAAATATCATATTTAAGTCATGGGAACATCACAGGGTAATTATATTATTAATTGTTATTTCATTATTCTCTGCAGATCCCTGGGTTTTTGTGTTGAGGAGGTTCCAGGGAAAAACTAGTTGCTAGACACAATTTAAAGTGCTTATGTTTTCATTTTGTAGATTCTGAGAATACATGTTAAACAATGTTAGGAATCACGAGCTGCGTACCTGACCACATGCAGACCTTTTGTGTAGAGAGGTGGGCATTAAAGGCACACCATTTTGTTTTTCTGTTTAATGTATTTAGCCCTGAGGCTACAGAGAAAATTGTACTTTTTATTGATAGTTCACTTGTCTGATTAAAGTGAGCAGCCTGATTTAGAAAAAAAAAAAAAAAAGTTAAGTTTGCAGAAGGCTTCACCTGAGTTTCTTCCTTGCAGCATCTTGTCCTGGAGATTACAAAGGGGGCACGCCTCTAAGGCAGCTTTCTAATAGGTTCCCTGAGTAAGTGGGATCTCAAATATAATTGGATAATAGATCTGTCCTGGGGCTGCAAGGTGGCACAGTTGGTGGCACTGTTGCCTCACAGCAAGAAGGTCGCTGGTTTGCGTCTCGGTGGGGGCACCCGGGATCCTTCTGCGTGGAGTTTGCATGTGCAGCGTGGCTTCCTCCCACACAGTCCAAAAACATGTTGAGGTACATTGGTGATTCTAAATTGTCTGGAGGTGTGGATGTGAGTGTGCTTGGTTGTCTGTCTCTAAGTGTTGCCCTGCGATAGACTGGTGACCTGTCCAGGGTGTCCCCTGCCTTCACCCTGAGTCAGCTGGGATAGACTCCAGCCCCCCTGAGACCCTAGTGAGAATTAAGTGGTGTGTAGATAATGGATGGATGGATGGATGGATCTGTCCTGATTGGCCAGTTTAAACCAGAAATGCAGCTCCTACCCTATATAGGAGTGTACTGGGAGACAAATGGAGAAATGGTTTGGAAGCACAATACAGCACTGCTAACTGTTGAATGCAGTTTCTAAAAGATTTCATTCAAGTTATTTTCTCTTGCTATTTTTGTGTCTTGCTTTTGGAAGTTTTGCTGTTAGTTTAAAATGCATTAACAGCTTCCGATTTTCAAGCACATTTTATTTGCCAGCATGATGTTTGTCTTCCACATTCCTCACAAGAATGACTACACTCCTCCTTGCAACACAAGGATGTTTAATCTGGTTTATTCTGGAGTTAGAGATAGAGGGATGGGTGAATGGATCACTCCAAAATGACTGAATGGGCCAAAGTTAAGCAAAGTCTGCCCCAGTGACAACACATTGTCTGTAGCTGCAGAGAAACACCAAGAGGTGGCAGTGTATGTTCAGATAACGGGAGCAGGAGAGCGAGCGCAGAGGGAGGGAGTATTATACTGTATCCCTTAATTCCAAATATGAAAAAATGACATAATAAAGCTGGAAAAGACAACTCCTTAATGTCTATACAGAAAGAATGAGATGTATTGTGGGAATTGCATGCTTTCGGCCTCCTCCACAGTATTGGTATGATAATTGTAATGAATTAAAGTCATAGAATTTTAAATTAACAAACAGGTGCCAATTAGATTTCCTTGTTTGCTGTTTCTTTTTCTTTAAAAAATTGTTAAAGTTTGAACAGCTGGACGTAGGATTGTTCTCTCTTGCATGCAACAACCCTCCACCACCAAAACATGTTTGTACAGTTGACTTTCAGTCGGTCCTTGCTCACTTCCCTGTAATTGCAAAACAATGTGCAGGACACTTCCTGCAAACACTGGCAAACCAACCGCTGATACTTCCGAACACCTCCTGCTGAGGTTTCTGCGAATGACGGAAACCACTAAAGAACAAGCTTGCATCAATATAAAGTATCTTTCTTGAGCTGTGACTAAAGCTGTGTAGCAAATTCTATCAAACGACATTTCACTGAACTCCTAGTTCTGATCTGCTTCTTCACATCAAGAGCTGCAGTAAATGTTTGAAACCTTCAAGAAGATCTCCATGGTCTCTGAGTCACAGGGTCAAAGCTTTGAGTCTGAACTGATGCTTGAAGTGAACTTGGGTCAGAAAAACAATATGGCACATC